TGGGGTGGAAAGGTCCTTACAGGTCAGCTGTGGAGTGGTTGGGTTCACAGGATCCTTACGGCTCAACTGTGGAGTAATTGGGTTCAAAGGGTCCTTTCAGGTCAGTCGTGGAGTGGTAGGATTCAAAAGGTCCTTACAGGTCAGTTGTGGAGCAGTTGGGTTCTAAGGGTCTTAACAGGTCAACTGTGGATTGGTTGGGTTCAGAAGATCCTTACAGGTCACTGTGAAGTGTTTGGGGTGGAAGGGTCCTTACAGATCGACTGTGGATTGGTCAGGTTCAACAGGTCCTTGCAGGTCACTGTGAAGTGTTTGGGGTGGAAGGGTCCTTACAGGTCAAGTGCGGATGGGTCAGGTTCAACAGGTCCTTGCAGGTCACTGTGAAGTGTTTGGGGTGGAAGGGTCAGCCGTGTTCTGTGACTCCATTTCTAACAGAACCATCTGCTTCACCCACAGGTGAATGGCAGCTGGCAGGACGCGACCACCCCTTCATCCATCACCTCACCCGCCGGAGATCCTGGCAGCGTTAATTCCGACGCGTCCAATTAAGTCGTTAGGACCCTACCGATGAGAGGAAAGAGGTCATTAGTGTAATTTGTCAGTGTTGCTCTTTTCGCCGATACTCTTAACGTGACACACAGCTAATTACCTCAGCCAAACCCTGGAACCAATAGAAGATTGTGACGATGATTACGACACCTCTCTACCTCTCAGCTGAGTTCTTTTTACTTATTATGGGATGTGAAATTGTTCTCGAAGAACTTGCTTCCTTCTTCCTAACCAAATTTGGGGTTGGTTTTCTTTTTCATTTTCTTTTTCTTTTTTCTTTTTGGTTGTTTTTGTTTTTAATATCAATTTTATGGCAAGAAACTCAGTGTCTCTTCTAGAAGAAAACCAGGAAAAAAAAAAAAAAGGACTTATTTTAATTTCCACAGTTTTTTATGACGAGATTTCCGTTCGAGCTGATAGATGCTAACGATTAACCCCTCGTATTGTAACTGTAGGCGTTTAAACCCTCGCTGTTGTAATTTTGTAGAGGAAAATCAGCTTTTCTTACCCACGCTGAGCTCATTGAGCAGAACGCGGCTTAAACCTCCCCTCCCCCCACCCCCCCCCGTGTTTTGTGGATTCCCACCGCTGTTAACACGTCAAGCCCTCCTCTTTCAGGCGAGGTTTTATCAAAGATAATAAACTTCCAAAGCCTTTTTTTTTTTTTTTTTTTTTTTTGGCGGTTATTTTTATTACTTTTGTTCTCTCCCGCTGCGGGCACCGGGGGGGCGTGGCGAATCTACTGCGTACGCGCGAGATCGATGGAGCCGCGGTGCGCGCATGCGCGCTCCCACGGGACGCATGCGCAGAGCTATGCCGCTTTGTGGGCATGCGCATTCACGGACGCGGTGTTTTGTGCGCATGCGCGCAGCCCTGGTCTCTCCTGTGCGCATGCTCACTCTTCACAGGGCGCCGCCATTTCCCGGCGTGCACTGCGCGCAACGGTCGCTCCCGCGCGGGAGGTCGCCATGGAGGCGCGTTCGGAGGGATGCCGTCGGCTCCGGTAAGTGATGCTGTGGGCCGGGGATGGAGGGGGTGGAAGAGGGGGTCCGGTTGCCGTAACCCGACCAAAAGCTTCTTGCAGGTCCGAGGAGAGGCGGCGGAGAGCGGCGGGGCTGGAGGTGAGAGGTGGGCGGGGGGGCTCGGGGCCTGTGTGAGGGGGCTCGGAGGTCTGAGGGGGCCTCGGGGCCTGTGTGAGGAGGATGAGGGGGGATGGGAAGATCTGAGGGGGCCTCGGAACTTCTCGGAGCTTCTCGGAGCGGGATGGGGTGGTCTGAGGGGGCGTTGGGCCCGGTGCGAGGAGGATGAGGGGGGATGGCAGGGACTGAGGGGGCATTGGTATCTTTTTGAGGGGGCTGGGGGGGGATCTGAGGGGCCCTTGGGGCCTGTGTGAGAAGGCAGAGGGGGTTGGGGTGGTTTGAGGGGGCCTTGAGACCTCTTAGAGGGGCTGGGAGGGTCTGAGGGGGTTTGGGGCCTCTCTGAGGGGGCTTTGGGGCCTGAGTGAGGAGGATGAGGAGATTTGAGGATCCCTCACGGCCTCTGAGGGGGCTGGGAGGGTCTGAGGGACCTCAGGGCCTGTGTGAGGAGTCTGAGGGGGGGCTGGAGGGGCCTTAGGGCCCCCTTAAGGGGCCGGGGGGGGGTCTGAGGGGCCCTCAGGTCTGATGTGAGGAGGCAGAGGGAGACTGGGGGAGTTTGAGAGGAATGGGGGGGGATTGAGGGGGTTCTGGGGGCTCAGAGCCTGAGGGAGCAATGGGGGCCATCTCACTTCAAGCCCCTTAATGCCTACAGAAATGTTCTTCCCACAGACTTCTCTCACCGGATCCTTCCTTACAGCAGATGGAGGTGCTCCAGGTAGGTGTGAGTGAAGGAACTCCTGTGTTGTGAGGGTGGCCCAGAGCTGGGGCTGTCTCATTCCTTGGGGATATTCAGACCCACCTGAATGCTTTAGTGCTCAATCTGCTGTAGGGAACTGGTTTTGGCAGGGATGGGGCTGAGGTGTGTTGGATTCAGTAATCCCCAGAGGTCACTTCCAACCCTGATGATTCTGTGATCCTTGTAGAATTCTTCTAATTAAGGATATTCAATGGTTCTTTAATACTTAAATGTTGATTATGCCTGTTTCTCACAGAACCTCACCCTGGAGAGAAGAAAGATCTTGAGGAACCTCCAAAGCCAACTGACCTTGCTGCTGTAAGTCAGGAGAATGTTACTCCTGAAGCAGCTGCAGGAAAAACATCTCGTGAGAGCCCAAGTCCTGAGAAACGCCAAAACACCAGCAGTTCTCAAACCAAACGCGGCTCTTGGCGTCGGTCGAGCCTGAAGGGGACGAAACGCCGGAAATCTCTGCCTCCTTTTCATGAGGATGTTACAGGTAGGTGCTGTTCTGCCTTTGTCAAAGTCTCTTGAGAACCGTAGGATGGGTTGGAAAGGTCCTTAAAGGTCATGGAACCACAGAATGGGTTGGGTTGGAAGGAACCCTAAAGGTTATGGAGCCATGGAATGGGTTGGGTTGGAAGGGTCCTTAAAGGTCATGGAAGCAGAGAATTCTAAATGGGTTGGGTTGGAAGGGTCCTTAAAGGTCATGGAAGCAGAGAATTCTAAATGGGTTGGTTTGGAAGGGTCCTTAAAGGTCATGGAAGCAGAGAATTCTAAATGGGTTGGGTTGGAAGGGTCCTTGAAGGTCATGGAAGCAGAGAATTCTAAATGGGTTGTGTTGGAAGGGTCCTTAAAGGTCATGGAAGCAGAGAATTCTAGAATGGGTTGGGTTGGAAGGGTCCTTAAAGGTCATGGAAGCAGAGATTCTAGAATGGGTTGTGTTGGAAGGGTCCTTAAAGGTCATGGAAGCAGAGATTCTAGAATGGGTTGGGTTGGAAGGGTCCTTGAAGGTCATGGAAGCAGAGAATTCTAAATGGGTTGGGTTGGAAGGGTCCTTAAAGGTCATGGAAGCAGAGAGTTCTAAATGGGTTGTGTTGGAAGGGTCCTTAAAGGTCATGGAAGCAGAGAATTCTGAGTGGGTTGGGTTGGAAGGGTCCTTAAAGGTCATGGAAGCAGAGAATTCTAAATGGGTTGGGTTGGAAGGGTCCTTGAAGGTCATGGAAGCAGAGAATTCTAAATGGGTTGGGTTGGAAGGGTC